TCTAAATCATTAGGTCAGAATTTAATATGTCAAAGATACTAGAAATACAACTGTACATACATATAGGATCTATAGAATAAATTGCAGTGAATAAGAGATCTAGAGCACTGTGTCCTTCATTCCAAATCAGAAGAATGGTGAGGCATGACATCTTTAAAACATCTTATCTGAATTCTCAGTCTTAACTTGGTGATAATCAGTGATCATGCCTTGTGATTACTCTGATCTTTCTTTCTATGAATTTTTAAAAATGTGTATGATAAAAATACACTCTTTCGTAAGGACACAGTAGTTGTTTGAGATGTCCACTGTGTGGTTTCCAGAACTGTCAGAGTTTAGACACAGGTTTACTGCTTTTATCAATTTGTTCACAGTTTCAAGAGTTCTTTTTGAGGCTATGTATATATACACAGTATTTCCAGCTTTGTTTTTTTTGCTCTCTGAAGTCAAACGTTACCAAAGTCATCTTGAGTTCAAATACACACCTCCCTCCAAAAGCCATCTGCTCTTTGTTCTAGCCTAGTCAGGTATTAATTTGATTTCACTTGACTGTTCAGCCTTTGAAGTTCCTGCACTCGTGTTTCCCTCAGCTTTATTTAGCCTTATATCAAATTTAAAGCCCTGTCAGATTAACATTACTTGTTCACATACACCAGCTCCACATTTTGGAAACTCTGCCAAATTGTAGTCTGGATCTTTTGTTTTCTAACTTACTTCCCATATTGTTTTGGCAAGCTTTCCTTGACTCTGAAAATGCCATCTAACACTTAGTAATTCCCAAACTCTGAAATGATGCTTTAATACCAGTAATAACAACTCTGAACTGTGAGGCAAAGCATTTTAACTCCTGAATTTCTTGTGTCATAATGTGGCCCAGTTCCCAGTTTGGACAGGTGATGGTTTTTGCAAGTGGATCCAGCCATTAAATCCTATCTCTCAATCCCATCTGCTTCAAAGCTCACTGAACCAGGAGAGAAGGAGGAGTGATGACCTTGGGTAACTCTTGAGTCTTCTGGGCACACTGAGAGGTACAGACCAGAGTCTGATGTTCATTCTTCCTGAATAGTATGCCCTTACTGGAGCCTCTTCACTCTGGCCAGACACCGGAATCACAGTTCCGCAGTCCTGTGTGCTTAGATTCATACTCTGAAAGGCTTCATGACTGCGAGACCCCTGGTTAACCAGAATATCAGAAGTTTTACAGAGACAAATTAGTAAAATAATGAGCACAGGTACCAGGAATTCCTAACCACAAGTACTCTATTATTGTAAAAATAATCAGGTAAAATTGAAGAGGCTTGGGAAGCAGCATCTGAAATGCAGCTCCCTGATCTTATTGGGCTAATGTGCAAGTGCAGCTCCTGGTCAGTATCTCTGGGTAAAGCAGAATAGTTCACACACTCTCCTCTTTCCATTTGATCTCTTGGTTGTACAGAACAGAGCCCATGGTAAGACAAACAGCATCTGTTTAAAGCTTTGTTTTTTATGCACTTGACTGGAGTTTTCCCTGTCCAGATCACTGGTCTCAGTGGTCTGTTCAGCTTCTCTTTGATGCTGGTTTGGAGAGGTGACACAGCTTGAGAATAAGGGTACTAGTGAAAGGGGAGGTAGAGGCAGAGTGGATGTAGACCATGCCACAGAAACACTGTGAACGTCCAACAGTTTCAGTATTGCTATCTCACAGGTTTAGAATTGCTCAGGTAGTACAGAGTTTTCATTGCACAGTCAAAGCCTTACTTCTACAAACTTTATTATTCCACACTGGAGGCAGTGACTCAGTGCAGTTTGCTCTTGGTTTTAGACTTATCTGAGAGAGATGACACCTGGAACACTAAGGTTTGGTGAGTTTTCACTCCCAGTTAAGTATCTTAACCCTACCAGACAGCTTCTAAAGCAGGATGAAAATCAAGTTAGAAGTATACTGAAAGCTTTACCCATAATTAAAAAGTCATGATTAACAAGATTTACTTTCAGAACTCATTGGTAGGGGTGTCAAGTAACCTGAAATCATTTTATTGGAGAAAATCCTGTAATAATGCTGATCTCTCTTAATAAATTTGAATTCCTAATTTGAACTATATGTTTAGCTGTTTTGAATTCTGATCCGATTTTTTCAGTGTGAGATCAGAATACGGTGCATTCATTGCATGAGGAATTCAAAAGTGGGGTGTTGGCACAGAAGGGGCGGGACCTTGGCAGGCGTACCTCCAGAATCCATCATCTCCCTTTCCTTTCCTGCTTAGAGAAGTGCTGACCTCTGGTGGCTTGCAAGCAGAACCTCTAGAAGACCTTAATGTTTTCTGATGGTGGCTGAATCTCTATTTGGAGTTCCCTGTCCATAACAAATGTTTTTATTTTCAGTCAAGTTTTGCAGCAGGAACATGAGTAAAAATTATACTGTCTTAGCATTTTCCTCCTTGAAATGGATGGGCAAGTTTTAAAGGGCTGGTGGCAGATCTACTGTGTTCCCCCTGAACTGTAGGTATCCTGGGGTAGGAAACAGTGCAGGTTTCAAAGAGCCTTCAGGCTGTCTGGCCTGAAGAAGAGGAAACTGAGTTTCTTCATTCCACTTCTTCCCACACTCCAAGAGAAAGAAGTTTATTTCCGTTCTTTTTACCCAGGCTGATTTTTCTCCAGTGTTATGCATCAGCCTTCACAGCTGCCTGGGGTTTATGTGCCCCACACTGCAGAGCAAATTAGGTCCTGTTCTGAGTGCTTAGCCTACAGGCTTAGGCTAGTAACTAACAAACTGCACACACACAGTATTTGGATGTATGCAGACAAGGATGGACTGACTTGCTGTTACTTCCTTATTTTTAAGCACTGCTCAAAGTTTCATTCAAGTTTTTTGCAGCACATTCATGTGAAATGCTGCAGGGATGCACTGAAATATGGTTTTACTTCCTTTGTGATTTTTATTTGCTGACAGCAGACTCCTCAGAAAATTATCCAAGGCCTTCTGAACTTAGTTTTGTTATAGGTTAAGGCTGAAAGATTGCCAAATTGTGAACAGATCACAGTGTGTGTGGAAATGGTCTTGCAGACTATGGGGAATGTTTAACTTTCAGAAAGCAAGATATGGCTATGTGACACTATGATAGATAAATCTGTGCTTTTCTTGAATGAGTTTTGCCTTTCAACCAAACAGTATACACATAGTAGCAAAGTTGTAAGATAACAGGATACAACAGTAAAGGAGAAATCTTTTAATCCTCATCCCCCTCTCCCTGTTTTCTGAAAAGTCCATACAGTCTTTATTTCCAGATTTTGTTTTGGGGGTGTGATATTCATGCTTAAGTAATCTTTGCTACTAAGGTAGAGGTGTTAGCAAAAGCTGTGCTGCTGGCATATGTCAGGGACTTCATGTCCTTTCACTGCAGTGCAGCACAATTCCCAACAAGCAGACTCTGCCATGAGATATTTGTGCACCAGGACTGGCATTCTGAATAATAATAAAACAGAGCCCATGGCTGAGCCACCAGTTAGAGAAGAATTACAGTGGAATCTCAAGATTTTTCTTTTTTGGGGCGTGAGTTGAGGGGGTGGGGATGCTGATGCTGTAGATAAGTGTGCTGCTGCTGGTGCTGCAGTGACGTCAAAAAATACTCCTTCAAAAACCTGTCTCAAAGACATGGTTGCTGAAAATGAAGCAATGTGAATAGCAGTGCAACGGTGAAGATAAGGATGTAGCTTGATCTAGGCTGCTGAAATTCTTTAATGCGAGGTTTCATGTGTGATGGAATACATTATTTTTGCTAGAGGGTTAAAGACTTTGTCCCTCATCTCAGCTGGCATTTATGGATTTCCAGGTCTGCCTGCTGAGAAGTAAATATGTAGCTGCTTCTCACCTTTCCTCTGTTGCTGTGCTAATGGAAGAGAATTTTTCTTGCCAGTAATACCGATGATGGTCGTTGCTGCTGAGATTTATTATTTTCTTGTATCAGGACAAATCTGAGTTATTTCCAGCAGGATTTGGATTTCTGAACAACAGGATAATAGGCATGCTTCATTTTCTTAAAGCTATGTCTATGAAATCGGAGGCATAGCAAACCTACACAAACTTCATAAGCATGGCTGAAAAAGAAAGATGATGTTGGAGGGGTTTTTTAACATCACCTGGAAGGTTTGGCTCTTTTTCTGTCAAAAATTGCCTTTTGCATGTGCTGTTCAAGATCCATTATATGTCAGATGGAGGTTAGGAAGCCAAGGGTAACTGTTCTATTTTTATGTATTTGTAATCACTTTTTTCCTTGTGTGATGATTTCTGTTAACATTTGTGTTTTTAAAATCTGCAGGACAATTGGTATATTATATTGAAGTGGTTATGTATTACTATAAGTGCTGTTAAAAGTATGTATGAAAAGAAAAACATTTAATTGAATGCATTTTGGTAGAATTTTGTTTTATTTTATGTACTTTTTAATGCAAAAATTAAATATATGTAAACATGTTATTAATGGGTTTGCCTGTATGTGTAAGTATTTCCATAGGAACATGCACTCAGAGGACAATTACAGTTAGGGATTTCTGTCAAAATTGTATTTTCTGGAATAAAATGCATTTGACAGAATAGAGTTATGTGCTGACAGTGCCAGAGGCAAAGAAATTGGTTTTATTTGAAAGTATTCCTTTCAAAGTCATATTATCATAACATACATTAGCTGCAAAGCACTGATGAGCATTTCTCTTTTGAGTTAATATAATAAAATGATTTAGTCGTTCTTTACCTTCTTCCTTTCCCCTGCTCCCAGGCATGCCAACTTCTCCATCATTATATTTTTCAGCTGTTTCCAGGATATGTATGTACCAGCCAAGAGTAATTAATTGTCAGTCTTAAAAATTGCTAGTTTATTTACTACCCTAATGCTATACCAGGTTCACACACTTGCTTTTTACAATGCTTTCTTGGGAAAAGCCAGCAAAACTGTCAGCGATTAACTGATTATGCTCACACTCCCCCCATTTTTTTTTCTTTCCCTTGTTATCCTCCCCTGCTACAGGAGCCCAGTAACAAACGGGTGAAGCCACTTTCCAGAGTCACATCACTGGCGAGTCTCATTCCTCCTGTGCGAGCCACTCCGCTGAAGCGGTTCAGCCAGACACTTCAGGTAATGGCAGTACGTGCACTGCTGCATTACGCACATTGCTAAAAGGGGAATGCATACATATTCACCACTTCTGCTAGGATTAGCATGGGAATGTGGACTGCACATACGAGCACACATACCATTGTAATGTCCCAAACAGGTTTAGGCAGCTTACGACTACGGTTACTCAACTTGAAAACTCAGAACTCCAAAACCCCACAATTTCTCTGTCCAGATAATTGATGGTTTTAATTGTCGGTAAGAAAACTATTGCACCTGTAGCATATCAGAGTTGCTATACTAAAGGATTACGATTGCTTTTTAAATTTGAGAAACAGAAATTCCCGCTACACTTTCATTTTGGTTGATTTCTTTGAAAATGTTATTTTTGGTACAGTGGGTCATGTAGGATTGCTAAATTCCCTTCTGTGCAATGAACTTTGACCTTGCCTAAACAAAAGAGTTAGTGAACAATTGGAAAAAAGTCATTTTCCAAAGCTGATGATGAAAATTAATAAAGGGCAAGCAAATGCCATTTAGAAATTAAATTTAATGCCATTTAGAAATTAAATAATGTTGTACTTGCAATTTCTAGGTTATAGATAGGTCTGTAACACTTAACATACTTAGAGACTAACAGAACTTTATAAACTATTTGTGCTTTCAGACCTAGAGGCTGCAAAACGTTTGGGTGCTCAGCTCCTGATGGTTATGATGAGTGGCATATAGTTGGAAGCTTCAGTACTTCTGTGGGTCTGGCCTAGAAGGACAGACTGTTTCCTCCTTAAAACAATTTATGTAAGAAGGCATGTGTAAGATCTAAAAATTATTTAACAAGCTTAACTTCTTTGATGAGAGGAAATACAAAAATACCCTGAATGAATTAAAAATGTTACTTAATCAAAATTAGCTTAATTAGGGCATCACTGAAGCCCTCTTATTCTCGAGGGGTAAAGAAATAAAACTTTGGAGCTAGGAGTCTTATGAGAAATAAATAAAAAGTCACGGGAAAGTACCATTTTTTTTTTCCTGTCGTGGCAGTGTAGAAAACAGGTATCACAGGGTTTCTTTAATATTGGTTTTCCTGTGCTCTGTTCCTGTGATTTTGGACGTGCAGACATCTGCAGAGAAAAGCTGCATGTGTGGGGTTAGAGGAAAGGCAAAATGTCTGAACTCTCCTCAGCCTGGGTTTGATCCAGAAGGTGTATTATAGCGTGACTAGAGCAGACATGCCTGTATTCCCTGGGGTGTATAAATCTCCTCCGTAGTCTGCTTCCAGGAAAAAATTGGCCCAGCTTTGGATGGATTCCATTAGTTCCAGTTGTTGAGGAGTGTGGAAAGTGAATTAATTTTTGGCTAAACTGCTTCTGTGTTTTCCTATTCACAGCCTTAGACAGCTGTTGTCCTCATTTAAGTACCTACGCTATTGTCCTATAGCGAATGCCTTTGAAACTGGTCTGTCCAGGTCAATATTTAATAAAAGCTTGATTTGGGCTATCCAAAACAAACTATTATTTCACACATGGGGTAGCAGCTTTCTGAGATGAAGGGTACATAAATGTGTTTGAGGAAGGATTTTGACAAGAACAGAAGAGAAAACAGTGACTTTGTTGCAAGTCCTACTGTTGGCAGATTTCTCCTTTGATCTATTCATATGGATTATAAGAATATATTTTAATTAACTGCTTCTAAGCAGATTAAGCAGTGATGTTAGTCATAGTTAGATAGTCTTCTAAGTAACTATGAACTCTGAGAAATCAGCATGAATGTCCTTCAAATCCTAGGTCAGAATCCATTCCCAGGTGATGAATGCTGGTGATGTCTCTCAAAACTGCCTTCATAGCTGGCTGTAAACTGACTCCTTATCTGCTTTTGTCAGCAGCAACAGAACAGGGGAAAAAAAAGACTGACCTTGTGCTTGTGTGCCCCATTTGGAATTATTTAGAAACATTGAGAAGCATGTATAGTTTTTTACTTTATTATGTATTGACGTAGCTTTTGTTGTGCCTTGTGGAACACTGTAGAGCAGGATTTTTTTTCATCGTGTAATACTTGTAAAAAGCAAAAAGTGCTCATTTTTCTTACTGGATGAACTTTTATATATCTTCATGGTTAAGATATTTCAGCCAAAATCTTTCTTCTTGCATTGCTGCTAGATGTTCTGTATCAGTAAAATGAAGAAAGATACTATCAACAGTGCAACATCCAAAACAAATTCTTCCCCTGGAAGAAAACAAAAAAAGCCAACAGAGCATCCATCCAAAGTGACCTCTCCAACAGCATCAATAAAAAGAATTAGAAAATTCTGAGTTTCCTTTATGGCATTTCAGTCAAACCTTCTTATATTCTTTCTGAATGGAAGATACATGTAAGATGGAAAAACTAAATTTATTGTGCATAATTTTCCTTGCCTCTGTACATCTACGTTCCACTTGATATTAACAGACCTGCATGCAGGCTGAAGAGAAACATCTCTGACTGAGATATTTTAAGACATGTTTTTAGTGATTTTTTTCTGTTTTGCATATTTCATTGATTATAGAGGTATTTGATTTTTGGTGTTTGAGTCTTACTTTTATAACAGTTTTCCACATTATTGGCAATACTTTTCCACAAGGATTCTAAAACAAACCCACAAAGTCTTTTTATTTTTTTGACTATTTATAGTCTGTTTCTGTCACACAGAGCACTGTAGACTAACTAATATCATGCTCTTAGCTTGATCTCTGACAGAGTCTGTGTATCTGCAGGATGCCAGATGCTAAGCAGGTATTCTTATTTGTTCATCCACCTGGAAAGCCACTATATTTCATTGCTGTATTTTCAGTCTGCATCAAGCTAGGCTAATGATTATGATGATCTGCTTGTTTCTGCTTGGTCTTATTCACAGCTGTGCTGTTTGGCTTAAAAGCTGAAAATAGGATCAGAAAAAGAACTCCAGCTGATGATGAAGAGACAAATTAAAGTCTGGCTGGCTTCCTCTGCAGCTTCAGTTTTCATCAGCCTGTCTTGTAGGGAGTCCAAATTATTTTTATCTGTCTTAGAACACTGGAAATTTCTAAAAATCCTTAAGAAGAAAACTCTTCTTATTATCACTTCTGAATGCTAGGACTTTACTCTGTAGTGCCCATTTCCCAGTACATGAAGCTGTTTGCTTTACTGCAGCTGAAATGAAGGTTTGTTAATTGCATGAATTAACATCAGTAACACACAGCCCCTTCATAGTAACAGTCTTGTAACAGCCAGTTAAAGCTACTGCAGTCAGATAAATACAGTAAATAAAATCAGAGGTTGTGGCTGGGTTAATTCCCCAGGTCCTTTAGGTTTTTTGCATTATCTGAAAATGTTAAGAGTCCCATATAGGCAGAATTGTTCACTAGTATGCTGGGTATATTTTTGAAGAAAGCCAGAACCTAGGGAAATATTTTTAGAAGACTGGAGATGCAGAAATGCTCTTTTGACATTCCTACAATTCCTCCATGGGATTCTGTCACATGACTGATTTTCCCTCCCCCTTCATGGCAAGTACCAGCCAACCATCAGAGTACCTTTAAGCTTGTTTTTAAAACTTGCTGGTATAACTTCAGTTTAGGGCTGTGTTCCACTAAACTGAAATGGGCCTCTTTATTTGCAAAAGAAAGTGTAAAGTAGTGGAACTGAAATGGTTAAACTGATGTGCTACACTAATCTTACACTATCAGAGTTTTATTAAAATAATTTATTGATTATGTAGGGATTTCTTTAGTTATCAGGTTTATGTGTCATTTCTGTTCTTGTCTGTTACAGCCCTGATGATTCAGGTGTGCTCAACTCTGAAGGGATAAAGTATTAATTTTAGCATTAAATAGTATTTCCCTGAAGATGCAACAGTTTGTCTCTTCATAGCTTTACAAGCCAATGTCTGCAATGTGTATGCAAAGGAATACGCGAACATTAGCTTGGATTCAACACTGAAGTGTGTGATTCCTGGCCTGACTAGATTTCAGCATCCTAGGATATGACAGTCAGGGGTTCTGCCTTTGCTGTGTTAGTGTATGAAAGAAGGAAACATGCCAGGCAAAGAAACCACTTGGTCTTGAAGTGGAATTTGTCCTCATTGTTAGGTAACACCTCAGAACTTTTCTGTTCCTTTCCACTAATAAATACCCACAGTCCGATGTTCCTTATTTAATATTAAGCAAGGTGCATTTTGTATGATTAATTAAAAGGGTAATGTATGAAAGAACTAAATATATACTTACTGTGTCCAGGCAGCAAAGATGCTGAGCAAGCAAGCAGGATTTTGGGCAGTTTGTTTTCTTTTTGAGTTTCTCAGCCTTTTTGTGCCACTTCTGCCCAGCTGAGGACAGTGTAGGGCTGTAGAGAATATCATCAAGCTTTCTCATGCAGCATAAAGAAGCATATTACTATCAGTGGATGTGAAAGCTTACTTTTCTTATAGTACTGTATGGAATTTCAGTTTGCTGTTACAGGTGCATACCATTTTATAATGTGGTATATGACCTTTTGTTAAAAGGTTTCAAGATCATGGCATTTACTTTTAAGATCTGGTGCTTTTCATTATATGTACTTTATTCATCATAAAACATTTCCTTTAAGAAAACACCAATGCAAACAGAGGAGCTATATACTGGAGGATGCATATGGGAATGCAGGGAAAGGAACATTCCATCTTGGGTCATGGAATGACAAACGTTCTGCTTGGCTGCATTCTGATGGTTGGTGATTTGTGGATGCAACACACCTGCCTTTTTCCCCCTAATCTTTCTTTCCATTTGCATGTGAAAGTAGCTGGTTCCATGATTTATCAGGTGTAAACACGTGTGTTCTTTATCTTCTTAAATTTTGAAGAAAGACTAGCACTTGACTTGCAAAGGTTTGGAAGGTTGGTATATATATATGTGTGTGTTTATTTTTAGGGGGTTTGTCGATTCCAAGGAGGGGCTCAAAATCGCTTATGTTAAAAGGCACAGTATTTATATAGTATGTCTTCTGATATTTAAAAAACCTTGTCTTATTAGGTATTTTTGCATTTCATGGGCTCTTATTTTCAAAGGAGAATTTCAGATATTGTACTTTGTATATGCTGCTTTCAACATGGAAATGAAGAGAATTTGTTTTAAATATTCTTGCCTAAGGCAACTTGAAAGACTGTTGTTATGTAAGGCAGATTTTAAATAACAACAAAAATGTAGAGTATTTCAACAATGTGAAATACTTGAGGCATCAGAGGCAGGACCTCAGAATAAGCCTCTAATTATAATGAAACAAGAAAGGAATCTTTTTTTCAGAATAGCAAAGCGAGAGCATAAAGTATTCATCCTTAGCCTTAAGTCTTTGAAAGAGTATACAGTCAAAGAGAATGCTCAAGTCTCAAAACTCAAGACTTGCTTTTAGAGAAGTTTAAGACCAGACCACATAATAGATACAGTGATGCATCTGTCATACAACCCCTGTGATACATCATCAGGGTTTAGAGGCTCCAGAAAGATTTTGCAGTAGTAGAACACAATTCTGGTATTTCACAATTTGCTATCTGCTAGCATTGATTGTTTGAATCAGTTTAACATGCTGCTTCAAATGCTAAGAAGTAAGGAAGAGCAGTTAGTGTAAAAAGAATGTTGCTTGTTATGAACATTAAAACTGAATATTTACATACCTTTTCCTTAAAGATAATACGATTGTTCTTTTAAGTTAGGTATCCATTTCACACCTTTCTATGTGACTTCGTTTCTTGATCTCACTGAACATCTCAGTAGGCGGGATGATACCATTTGAAAGGCTTTCTAACCATATCAGAAACAGTTTGGTTAGAGCATTATAGCATGAATTACCATCAGGTAGCAAGACACTTATTAAGGTAAGAGGAAAGGTTTTAAAGGGCAGTCTCACTTCCTGAACCCACTTTCTGCTCAATGAGAAAACATATTATTTTAAAATCATTAATATGTTTGATGTAATGCACCTTTTCACCTGGTATCCTCAAGGTAGGACCAAGTTTTTCTCAGTACAGACACCTTTGAACAGTCCCACCCTGCCGCAGAAATGGACTCAGTCAGAGATCAATGTGATCAGACCAAAGCCGTTTAATACAAAGCATCTATCCTTTTTATACTGTTGTCTGCATCTGCTTACAATAGCTTGCTGTATTATAATCAGATGCATATTCTTGTAGCACACAGCAACTATGGCTACATATACAATAGCTTGCTGTATTATAATTGGATACGTACTCAATAGCTTGCTATATTATAATTGGATACATATACAATAGCTTAGTATATTATGCTTTGATACATATTCTTGTAGCACACAGCAACTAGTATATGTTTGATCAAATAAGCGTATGGGAACTTAACCTTTAAAACTTGCTAACGATCCACTATTTTGTATCTTAGCACATTCCAGTTTCTTCTTATCTTGCTTGCGTTACTTTTGCTTTCTTACTCATGTCCTCCTTCATCCTCGGTTCATGTCGAACTCCATGTAGGCACTTGCTGACTTGGGAACATGGCTATTCTTTGCTAAAAATCCATCCACACCACCCAAAAAATAAAATCCAACAATACTATTGACTTTAAGCTGATACACAGGATGAGTTTATATTCCAGATTTTGCTGTCCTAGCTTTCCATATGTATATTTATTTATTTATATGCTATGTATATCGAATCCTTAGAGGGGAAAAAAGTGTCATGTGAAATTGTTCTAATACTGAAAAGTATTCTTCTATTTCTAGCGTTCTATCAGTTTCCGAAGTGAAAGTCGTCCAGATCTGTTCAGTCCACGATCATGGTCTCGAAATATGCCCCCAGCTAACACAAAGCGGAGAGACAGCAAACTGTGGAGTGAGACCTTTGATGTTTGTGTCAATCACATGCTTACATCTAAAGAAATCAAGCGTCAAGAGGTATCATATTTTTTCTTACTATAAATTTCATGTTCAGAAGTCATCTTTAAAGCGTGGAGTTAAAGAATGCCAGTAGGCATCAGGATAGCACTTGAAGCTTTCCTGAAATTAAGCAGAATGTCATCCTTTGTCTTTATAATTCAAGCTATATTAGATCAATATATTCTTCAAAGTCAGCTCATATTTCCTTAATAAATATGAAGTTACTAAGATATATTGTACTGTGATTGCCTGCCTGTATGTACATGTTCTGTATGACGCTTTCTGTAGTGATGGTTGATGTTTCGTTTTGTTCCCGTAATGATAGATGAGCATGCTATTTCAGGAACAGGTATTCAAGTCATACGTACACACAGAATCATAGAATGGTTAGGGTTGGAAAAGACCTTAAGATCATCTAGTTCCAACACCCCGTGCCATGGGCAGGGACACCTCACACTAAACCATGTCACCCAAGGCTCTGTGCAACCTGGCCTTGAACACCGCCAGGGGTGGAGCATTCACAGCTTCCCTGGGGAACCCATTCCAGTGCCTCATCACTCTTACAGTAAAGAACTTCTTCCTTAGATCTAACCTAAACTTCCCCTGTTTAAGTTTGAACCGATCACCCCTTGTCCTATCAGTACAGTCCCTATTGAAGAGTTCATCTCCAGCATCCTTGTAGGCCTTCTTCAGATATTGCAAGGCTTGGAAAAGAGTGTCTTTGAGGAAGTTTTCAGTGCTAGAAAGAGAAAATATTGATCAAAATATGAATCTTCCAAAGCATCAGTGGTTTTAATGTGTTGTACATGACAGATTCTAAGTAGCTCACGTTACAGCCAATGACAGATCTCTTGTGGAATCGAGTTTTCCCCCATACCCCTAAAAAAATATTTGTAGCAATAGCAACACAAGTTTATAATAATCTGAGAATAGTTCAGGAACAGAGTAATGAATGAAACAGTAACATCAAGCATTTCTTGTGCAGGTTTTAACATTGTACAAGAATTCATAGGAAATCACTTTTAAAATGGAGACCTTCAAAAGCAGCTTATTGGAAAATGAACTGTACAAACTATTTGCACAGCATTAACAGTCATTACTGTTTTGGGGCAGAAGCCAGGACCCTTCATAGAGCCCAAATAAATGAGCTGTATTCCAGGAACTTCTGCTTGAGGGTTCTTACGCTATGTATGTCAACAGAATATCTGAACCACTTCCATGCATGTGCTGTCAGTTAATTCACACTATGGGAAGCCTTCCATATATCCATGTTAGCTACTAGGACCATCTGCACTAGCTGATGATGTTCTTCCATGATTTATGGAGGTTGAAAGCCTTGGCTATGAAGCTGGTAATTCTAACTGACCAAAATGTTGTTAACTTCTTTCTGTACCCCGGTTTAGAATGAAATCATGCAGTAAGTAAATAACAATGGTATTTTGATAAACCAGTGTATTACGGTGGTGATCATTATTAATCTGCTGGTTTTAAAGTCTTTAAAGTCTCAAATCTGCTTCAACAGAAGTAACTAACATCAGCTGATAGTTAAGTAGGGCTCGGCCTTCATAACAAAACCAAAATAAACTGGTACCAAAATAAAAGTGCTCACTGCCACGTAAATGTTTTAGAGAAGATCTTTTACTTACAAGGCCGCATGGAACTTTTACCAATGCAAGTGTTACAATGGAACACAACAAATACTTGTGCAAATAGCTGTATAAAAGGTTAAGGTACGGCTGAGTCTAAACATCACACTGAAAATAGCTCCCCTGTCTGGAAACACTTTGGTTTGAAAAAAAGAATCCTGTGCTATTTCAGATATGCATTTTATGAGCAATCTGATACAATCCTGTTTTAAAAATTACTGCAAGTTTCTGTACCTGTGGAATAAAGCCTTACTTTATTTCTGCAATTAGATTTAGCAGAGAAATTCTGCTCCATGGTATTAAGACAGCTGTTCAGAATGTAACATCAGCTCAACAAGTTGAGTATAGATTAAATAAAATATATTTTATGGTATTTGTGTCTCTTTTTACAGGCTATCTTTGAACTTTCCCAGGGAGAAGAAGACTTGATAGAAGATCTGAAGTTAGCAAAAAAGGTATGTTCAAAAAACAGGTCAAACAGACAAAAAAACCCCGATACAACAAGCAGTATTAATTGGTTCATATCACTTTTAAAATATTTCTTGCTTTTACAGTTGCTAAGACGGGGGGGGGGGATTGACACCAAAACATAATTCTGTTTTCCCATCTTACTGAAACACTTAAGTGCTGCGTTTTTCTTTATGAATAAAACTGGTATGTTAAGATAGGGTTATGAAACTTCAAAATATTCTCAGCAACGGGTCTGGTTTTGCTTAAAGGGAGCTCTAAATGCTATCACTAATTTTTTAACTATCAATGATATGTTAATTACAGAGATCCCCTTTTTTCTTTCAGGCTTATCATGACCCAATGCTTAAACTTTCCATAATGACAGAGCAAGAGTTGAACCAAATTTTTGGAACACTGGACTCTCTAATTCCTCTGCATGAAGGTAAAACTCAAATAGTCTTTGCATTACTATTGCATATACATTTATAGTCATCTGATTCATTAAGTGCAGTTTCTCTTCTTTTTTTTTAATTGTCATTAGATCTTCTTAGGCGACTTCAAGAAGTCAGGAAACCTGATGGATCAACAGAACATGTTGGCCATATCCTTGTGGGTTGGGTAAGGCAACATTTTTAATTAATTTTTGGGACTTCAGAGCTGCAACATAGTTTTTATCGGACAATTTCCTTTCCATTTCTAGCATAGCATGTCAAAACTATATTCTCAGAGTATTTTTAAAAAGGAAAGGCAACTATTTAGAAATATAACGCAATGCTTTCTCTTTTGGGGGGATTTTTGGTGAAAAGATTTAGACCAGGATGTTGCTTTCAAAGCTTTTGGTATTGAAGAGATGAGCAGCATTTAATATGCTTTAAATAACAATTAAAATGCAACTAGAGTTTACCTGACATAAATCATTGAAGAATCTGCCCCCATTTGTATTCTTGTTTCCTGGGGAAATGAAGCTTGAACAGTCACATTGTGCAAGAGCACCCTACAGTTATTTTTGAGTGTCTGTCTGTTCCAGTCAAGGTAGCAGGTAGTTGTTAGTGCTGTTAAAGATGCTAATTTTCCAGAAGTTTTTAAAAAAAGAGAGGGATAAAAGAGCTATGCTATTGCTGCCCCATGAGAGTTGGTAAGTTCACTTTTGCTAGCATCCAACTACATAAACATTGAAAATAGCTTTTGTGAGATTTGTTGATAAAGTTGATCATTATATTAATAGAGCGATTTTAAAAGTAATTAGATATGTGAGAAGTTTACTTATAAATATATGTAAGTAATGAAATTTAGCAGGACAAAACGCCTTGAAATTTTTAAGGGATGAGGTAATAACGCATTCAGCAACTCTGAGTGAAACAGTGGCCTACTGTAAACAAAAGAAACGTGACTACTACTAGTAGCTAATGCAGATTGTTAGTGATAAGCTTCTAAGTGTCAAAGACTGGCTGGTTTTCTTTGCATAAAGTGATTTAAAATACATTTATTTTTTGGTGTGTTTGAACATCAGTGAAGTTCCCTTGGTCTAAATATGTCCTTTGTTGAAGCCTTTACATATAATAATGTGTTAATGTAGCAGGTTCTGTAAATTGATATATTCTTCTAATAAACATACAAGCTAGATTTTTTTCAGATTTAGGGCATGGTTCTGTCATTTTAGTGTGGTCAAGGTTCTTGAAGGCAATACTGAAGTCTTACTATAGAAGTCTGCTTATCTAAAAAAAAGACAAGGTTTGGGAGTACTCACTCCTAGGCTTTTATTTCCATTCATAATTAAAATCAGGTTTCTGTGTTTAACTGTTGTCTGCACTAAGTAGTGCTCAGTCTGAAGTCACAGATACTTTTAATGCTTTGGAATAATATTGCAGATTTCTAGGAACTGAGAGATGAGCTAGTGCTTTTGAAATGGTTTAAATGATGAACAAGGTAGTCAGAGGACCCTTGTCATCTTTGTTATTTTGGGAAAATTATCATCAATAATTTTTTGATAAATCTCCAACGAAAATATTTTCAGCATGAGTTTCTGAAACTTACAATGTAGCAAACTGCTTTGTTTCAACTGCAGAATAATTTATTCCTTTCCTCAGCTTCCATGCCTGAACTCCTATGATAGCTACTGCAGCAACCAAGTAGCAGCCAAAGCTTTATTGGATCACAAAAAACAGGATCACAGAGTGCAAGATTTCCTACAGCGCTGCTTAGAGTCTCCTTTTAGTCGCAAACTGGACCTTTGGAATTTCCTTGATATCCCAAGAAGCCGTTTGGTTAAATACCCATTGCTACTCAGAGAAATCTTGAGACACACACCAAACGATCATCCAGATCAGCAGCACCTTGAAGAAGCTGTAAGTTACTGTTGGATTTGGAGGTTAATTTTTTCTAGGAGATTGTAATTTTTTTTGCTTATTAATGAATAATAAAAAAGTGATATTCTGCTTCAGCAGAACACTTTATCTTTTGAAGTGATGTGTTTTGTAAATTGTGTATTTGCCAAGTTAAATTAGGAAACAGAAATTACTGTATTTGGTTGGCTCTTAACACTGTTTTAAGCTTATGAAGTACATTTCTTTTCACGTCTGGCAGTCTGCTTTAAGCACATTGGGCCAAGCTGATCTTCTGTGTATCTCCTGGAATCAGTCGATTCTTGAATTACCTGTTTGGGCATGTATGTCACAACCCATTCACCTGCTCCTCCTCCAGTTATCTAACGGAGGAATTGGATCAGTCTAAGCAACCTATGATCACTATTAGAGTTGCCTAAAATCAATAGACCTTCACATCCACAATCTCAATCAAGAATCATATATTAAGTTTTGGATACATTGGTCTCAAGGTCCTTAAAGACTGCATAATATAAGAAAGATAGACAGGGGGAGTATTTATTTTTATAGAAAGGGCAAAGTTTTTTTTTAAGTAAAAAGGGAAGACTGTTATTACTTTTAATTGTAAAATCATAGGTGTGTGCAAGTAGTGGAACTGTAAAATAAAATTAATTTACTTTATTTCCAGAGGGCAACTTTCAGAGTGAACCAAGGGTGAGAATTCATGTTTTGCAGGATAAAGATCTTAACAGGTCTTCTGTTTCTTGTTCTCTGATACGCTATAGCAGTTTTCAGAGAATTACAATTTATTTTAAATAAATATCTTTAAAGCAGATTACTTGTGTTGTTTAGTGACATTTTCAGCTGACAAAAAAACCCATCTCCCGTTACATTTCTTACATCTCTTTATTTTAATTCTGCCTATTTTGGTTTGATATAGAGAGACAAATATCAGATTTTTAAGCCGTTGTTAGAAACAGTGATGAAGCCAAACTAAACTGTCTTTGTACACTGTAGCCTGCTTGATTCTGTTCCTTATATTTATACTCTTACAGACTGGTCTGCAAAAAAAATATGAAAAATATAGTCAATTAAAATATATTTTCTTGTAGCTACGGGTCATTATTAGGAGATAGCTCTGAATATTGGAATGTCTAATTAAAGTTCATGGTTTTTTCGTTTTTTTTTTTTTTTTTTGCAGATAAATATAATTCAGGGCATAGTGGCTGAAATCAACATAAAAACTGGTGAATCTGAATGCCAGTATTACAAAGAGAGACTTATTTATCTTGAAGAAGGTCAAAGGGATTCACTGATTGATAATTCACGTGTTGTATGTTGTCATGGTGAACTGAAGAACAACAGAGGAGTGGTAAGAATAAACGCTTTACCATAAATAGCTTTTAAAGATACCTTCATTATGCATGACAGCTAAAAGCTGTGAGTTACAGACAAACATCACCCTCTCATATATAGGAAGCTGATAAATATTATCTGTAACACATCGTTTTTGTTAGCAATCAAATATCTGTGTTATGCAGATAAGCAGCTGTATGTGTCTCTTGTCTCTTAGGGAGACCTAACAGTATCCTGGCTAAATTGTAAATCTTATATGTTTCAGTAACATTTATAGGGGAAAAAAATGCAAATAAGAAACATAATTCTGGTCTTAGAGACAAGACAATAATACCTGTAACAACACACAGAATGTTCTAACAAATGTTAACTGTGTCAAAGGCTATTGTTGCAAGTATTGGTTTACTTGATTATTTGTTGAAATCAAAGCTATTTATTGAACAGAGGTATTTGATACGCCAGATTCCAGACTCTAGGAGTCTGCACTACTAATAAGCATCATAAGCTGGCACATAAGAATGTGTAGATTAGTAGAGAGGTTAATAGAAGAGAAACCAGTCATCTTAGATTTATTTTTTTCCCCAAGGTTAAACAAAAACAACATGAAATTTTGAATGGACGAACAATGAAAACAGATCTTTTTCTCATTAGCTGACCTTACAAAAAATGCATTAAAAATAAAACCTCAAACAACTAAGTAAATAGAATCCTAAATGTATTTTTCAGCATTGGGAGTTGCTTCCGTGTAACATGTTTATGCATATAATAAAAGGGTCATGTTTAGTCATACAGCTAAGATAGATAAAATGGATGCTGTTTTCTGGTTCGCCTGATAAAGATCGGACAGGCAGTTACTTACAGCAAACTATCAGGAAAAAACAGCCATTTTTCATCTTTTGGTGAACTTTATTCCATGGACACTACCCCTGCCTTTCTTTGGTAGTGTAACATAAACTTGTGCCACCTAGGAGCAAAAGTAATTTTCTGAGCTTCAAAGAGCTGTAGTGAAGCTGTTTGTAAACAGCATGTGAATTGTAAAAGTACTGCTCATAACTGAGCATTGAAAATACCTGGATGAGTAAGACTGCCTGTTTCTTAGTGGCACAGACCGCAGAGCAAAGTTAAAGTGGGTGTCAGGAGAATGCATATAGGCATGCTGGTGCACAGCGCTTTGAAATGTCGTGCACATATCAAGGCCGTAACGCTAGAATATCAGTTAGCATTGCGACATAGAAACTGAGGACATGAAAAATAAATTTAGAAGTTTTTAAATTGTTTTTATGTATTTACATGCTGTTACCCCCTAAGACTTAAATTGTGGGACGAGAGGAATCCTTATTTTAACTGTTGAAAGTACAAGGTTAGAACATGCTGCGGTTTGAATAAATTTGGTTTAAGGATGTTTTCAAGAAGGAATAATGCTTTATTACTTACTAATTCCTAACAGAAACTGCACGTCTTCCTCTTTGAAGAAGTGCTGGTGATCACTCGAACTATCACCCATAACGAACAGCTCTGGTACCAGCTGTATAGGCAGCCAATTCCCGTGAGGGAGCTTGTGCTAGAAGACTTGCAAGATGGAGAGGTGCGACTGGGTGGATCCATACGTGGTGCCTTCAGCAACAATGAGAGAAGTATGACTGCACCTTTTTTTTTTTTTTTTTTATTTGCTCATATAGGATCATTGTAACCTTACAATTGCCAATGAGGCATCAGGATGTTTCCTCTGAAATTCACATTACCTGTATCCAACATCTTGATTTTTATTTCAAACTGGCTTATTACAGAATAGTTACGGTTGGAAAGGACCTTAAGATCATCAAATTCCAACCAACCCTGCGATGGGCAGGGACACCTCACACTAAACCATCTCACCCAAAGCTACGTCCAACCTGGCCCTGAACGCCGCCAGGGATGGAGCATTCACAACTTCCCTGGGCATTCCAGTGCCTCACCACCCTCACAGTAAAGAATTTCTTCCTTATATCCAATCTAAACTTCCCCTGTTTAAAACCTGTTACCCCTTGTCCTGTCACTACAGTCCCTAATGAAGAGTCCCTCCCCAGCATCCATATGAGGTCTCCACGCAGCCTTCTCTTCTCCAGGCTGAACAGCCCCAGCTTTGTGAGCCCATCTTCATATGGGAGGTGCTCCAGTCCCCTGATCATCCTCGTGGCCTCCTCTGGACTTATTCCAGCAGTTCCATGTCCTTTTTATGTTGAGGACACCAGAACTGCACACAATACTCCCAAGTGAGGTTTCACGAGAGCAGAGTAGAGGGGCAGGATCACCTCCTTCGACCTGCTGGTCACGCTCCTTTTGATGCAGCCCAGGATGTGGTTGGTTTTCTGGGCTGCAAGCGCTCACTGAAGCTGGCTCATGTTCATTTTCTCATCAGCCAACGCCCCCCAGTCCTTCTCTGCAGGGCTGCTCTGAATCTCTTCTTTGCCCATCTTAAAGCTGTGCCTGGGATTGCTCCGACCCAGGTGTAGGACCTTGCACTTGTCATGGTTAAACTTCATGAGGTTGGGATCAGCCCACCTCACAAGCGTGTCAAGGTCCCTCTGGATGGCATTCCTTCCCTCCAGGGTATCAACTGAACCACACAGCTTGGTGTCATCGGCAAACTTGCTTGAGGGCACACTCAATCCCACTGTCCATGTCAGCGACAAAGATGTTGAACAAGACTGGACCCAACACCAATCCCTGAGGGACACCACTCGTTACTGGTCTCCAGCCGGACATTGAGCCACTGACCACAACTCTTTGTGTGCAGCCATCCAGCCAGTTCTTTATCCACCGAGTGGTCCATCCATCAAATTGATGTCTCTCCAATTTAGACACAAGGATGTCGTGTGGGATAGTGTCGAACGCTTTGCACAAGTCCAGGTAGATGACATCAACTGCTCTACCCCTGTCCATCAGTTCTGTAGCCCCATCATAGAAGGCCACCAAATTGGTCAGGCAGGATTTCCCCTTAGTGAAGCCATGCTGGCTGTCACCGAGCACCTTGTTGTTTTTCATGTGCCTTAGCATGCCTTCCAAGAGAATCTGCTCCAAGATTTTGCCAGGCACAGAGGTGAGACTAACTGGTCTGTAATTCCCCAGGTCATCCATTTTCCCCTTCTTGAAAATGGGGGTTATATTTCCCTTTTTCCAGTCATTGGGAACTTCATCTGACTGCCATAATTTCTCAAATACGGTGGACAGTGGCTTAGCAACTTCATTAGCCAGCTCCTTCAGGACCTGCGGATGGATTTCATCAGGAACCATGGACTTGTGCACATTCAGCTTTTTAAGATGGTCTCAAACCAGTTCCTCTCCTGTAGTGGGCCCAAGGTCTTCATTCTCACAGTCCCTGCATCTGCCTTCCAAGACCTGGGTGGTGCGGTCAGAGCCACACCGAGGCAAAGAAGTCATTCAGAACCTCAGCCTTCTCCAAATCCTGTGTAGCCAGTTCTCCTGAGAGCTTCCTGAGGGGGCCTGTGTTCTCCCTAGTCTGTTTTTTATTTGCTACGTACCTATAGAATTCCTTCATGTTATCTTTAACATCCCTACCCAAGTTAAATTCTAACTGGGCCTTAGCTTTCCTAACCTGGTCCCTAGCTTCACGGACAACATCCCTGTACTCTTCCCAGGCCACCTGTCCTTGCTTCCACCTTTTATAAGCCTCTTTCATAATTTGAATTTTCCTCAGGAGCTCCTTATCCATCCAAGGAGGTCTCCTGGCCCTCCTGCTGCACTTCCTTCTGGTTGGGATGCAACACTCCTGAGCTTGTAGCAGGTGATCCTTGGATATCAACCAAGAGTCTTGGGCCCCCCCTGCCCTCTAGGGCTATATCCCATGGAACCTTACTGAGCAGGTTCCTGAAGAGGTCAAAGTCTGCTTTCTTTAAGTCCAGGGCAGAGAGCTTGCTGCACGCTCTTCTCACTGTCCTGAGGATCTCAAACTCGAGCATCTCATGATCGCTGCATCCAAGGCTGCCCTGGAACATCACATTTTCAATGAGCCCTTCCCTGTTGGTGAGCATGAGGTCAAGCATGGCACCTCTCCTTGTCGGCTCCTCTATTACTTGCCGAAGGAAGTTGTCTTCCACACAGTCGAGGAACCTCCTGGATTGCTTGTGCTGGGCCATACCGTCCTTCCAATAGATGTCAGGGTGGTTGAAGTCCCCCATGAGAACAAGGGCCTGTGAGTGTGAGGCTTTTCCTATCTGTCTGTAGAGTGATATTATCTTGTAACTTGCTGCTTTAGATTGTTAATGGGATTTCTTCACACACCTGCTTCTGTACTGAATTGGAAAGGGGAGAATAGGTAGGATAGGGTGACAAACCCACAAAATTATCAGCAAGTGTATTTTGAAGTCTTTCGCTATTACAACTTTCCTTGTATTATTGCTTGTATGAGTGCAATTCCATAATTCTTTCAGCTGACAGGTAATTAATGTTGTCTTTAGTGTTAAGACTGCAGCTATTCATGTTGATGTCAAGAGGTAAGAGTTAATGTCCTCATAATCAAGAATATTCTAAAGATGCTTGTTTCTATTACTCGAGTGGCTTTGAGACTTACTTACCTTGTGAAAACTTTGAGGGGTTTTCAGATGTATTCACTTTGTTAGTGAAGTGAATGGAGGAAATGAGGCAATCTTCAGCTGACACAAGACACAGTATTCAGTCAAGATTCTGGAAATCTGCTTTGCAGAGAAGTAGGAGGAAGGCGTTGAAGTGTGGCAGAAGCTTTAATCCTGCTGATTCACCTAAAGTTTTATGGGTAGTTTGTGCATGGCACAACCAAAATTGCATAATCCAGCAATATGAAATTATTATAAGTGCTTGTTCTGTGTTCTTCCCCCACAAAACAAGGAGATAACTAGATTCTTCTCTCTGGTCTGACGCAATATTGGCAGGAAAAAACCTTAGTTCAAAGATCTTGCAGGTTCTGTTATTTAAATAAACTCTTTGGTTATAGGATCTATTCAGCCAAAGCATTCAGTGTTTTGGTATGTATTGTTTTTTTTCAGTCAAAAACTTCTTTAGAGTCAGCTTCAAAAATGGATCTCAAAGCCAGACTCACTCACTCCAAGCCAATGACTCCTTCAACAAGCAACAGTGGCTTAATTGCATCCGCCAGGCCAAAGAGAAAGCTACATGTGCAGGCAAAGCTGGCATGCTGAACTCGGAAGCACATTTCCTTTTGCCCCCGCATGGAAACAGAGTACCCCAGGGAGAAACTGTGGTGGAGCGAATGGACCAATCGGACTGTGAGTCAGACTGTAGTATGGACACCAGCGAGGTCAGCATCGACTGTGAACGTATGGAACAGACGAACTCTTGTGAACATGAAAAGCAAACAGAAACCAATGTTTGACAAAAGCAGTTTATGGAAGAAAATCTGTCTCTTACCTGTACAGTATTTGCATTCCATACATGGAACCATTTGGAGAAGCACTTTTAGAATATTTTCTGTGACAGTGTCAATGCAGTCCTTGTATTTGTACCTATGAGTGTTGTACTGTGACTGCCAATCTGTATAAGCTGGAATCTCTTGCAACTCATGTCCTGTGATTATATTCCATAAATGTCTTAAGGTGGATGAAAGAGGTACTTGACCAGTTATTCTCAATGTCCTGCTGTAAACAGAATCTCTTAACTACTGTTTATATATGCATTACATAAAGGATCTTTTCATAATTTAAGTACTTTATTTGCCCTTTAATGGGGCAGCTGAAGATCTGGACTTAAGGAGTTTCAGGATGGGTGGTATCAAGGTAAGCTTTCATAAAACCATAGAAGGAAAAATTAGTTTCTTGTAACAAGGAAAACATATTGCAATAACCTATCTGAACTCCTATGGTATTAAAATCAACACAAACTGTAAACAGCGGGCCGTGTAACCATGGGACTCTTTAGAGATGAATTTTTCAAAATGAAGCACTGCCCTAAGATCCAGCAAGTAAATTTACCAAATTCTGGTCAGTTAAAGTGGTCAGCATAGTGCTGTTTTATTTATCAAAGGATGTAATGCTAAAAATAATCAACTAAAAAAAACCCAAACAACCAAACCTCTACAGCCAGCACTGAATTAAGTGAAATGCTGAGAGTACTGGGTATTTGTAAATAAGCTGGTAGTTTGCTTTCAGTGCCATATATAAAATAGATATATATATTATCCTGATCAGGATAAAAATGGAAAAAAGCTTTTGCTTGTGAATAGGCCCTCTTCAGCATTTTGCACTCCACTGACCTCCACTGTTGGTTTTAAACACCACTAAACTCATGTTAAAACATTATAATTTCCTCTAAATGTCTGTTTACAATTACATGTAGTTGATTTTTAAAATTAAGTGACAACTTTGTATAAATGGTGCTCTACAAAATGCCCTATGGGATTATGTAGAGAAAGTTTAAACAGAAAGGGAATTGCTTTTCCTTTAGGATGTATTACGTTCTTTGTATTTTTCTCCAGTTTTGTTTTAAAAGTATTTGTTGCATTTAATCTCATGCAGTAATTGGAAATGTTACTGTGTTTTCTGGTGGCTGATTGTTAAATCTCATTATGATGAGGAGCAGATGAGTCACTTAAATGCAGTCTAAATCACTTAGTTCAACATCCTGTTACTATTCAGTAACCCCGTGGGTAATGCTGTATTCCTTAACATGAGAAATAATGCCAGTGCTGTATGGCAAGCTATGAAAATTCTGTATTAATAAATTCAGACGATCCTTCGTATTACACAGGATGACCTGTGCAAAGTACTCGTAACACCAGAAGTAGAAAAACTGCTAAGTTATTGCCAAAAACAATTTTTGTGTTCTACAAGTTTACAGAAAATTTACTATGTCAAGTATCTGATTTATATGCTGGTGCGCATTACAGAAATCAGTGTGACAAGACGATAAACAATATAAATCAAGGTATTTTTATTTTTTAAAAAAGTCATTTTTACCTGATAGAACATATTTCTGTATTTATAGTTTTTAAAAAAAGAAGTCAATTTTCTTTTCTGTTTCAAGCTTTGTAATTTATTTCAACTGCTTCATTTTTAGAGCTGAATTGAGTATTCCAGTGAAGATGAGACAAAGGAAGGGCTTGCAAAAGAAAAGGCAGAGGAAAGCATAGTAGGGGATGAACCATGTTCAGAAAACCTGTTCAGCAAAATGTTCAAAAAGAGCAAAAAGCCTGTAAAGTGCTTAGATGGGGAAGAAAGAATGAATGTGTGTATTGACTATTTGGTTTTTTTTTAATAATAGCCTTAAACTTCTCTGGAAGCATTTAAAATAAATTACATTAAACTGTTTTGCTCTTTATTTGGTTTGGTGGTTTGTGCAAGAAGACTACAGAAGTTTCAGTGGTACGCACAGTGACCAAGTGGTACGGTGGTACACCAAGTGACAGTGGTACATACGTGACCAAGGCGCATACTGTGGTTCTGCTGGAATGGTTGCATATTGGGATCTAATACAATAGAGTAACCAAGAAACAAGTCACTGCACACAATTCAGCACAATTCCCAGAGTTTTGTATTATAGAATCAATTTAGTAAGAAAGTGGAACAAAAAATTAACATCCTGCCATCAGTTTCTCTCTTGTAGGTCACTTCTCTACTAAGTATTTATTATTCCAAACATTGAGATTATTATTTTTGAGGCATGTAAAAAGCCACCACCCAGCCAGTGATTCTCAGAAGATGAATTTATTTATTAATTTATTTACTATCATTTAGCAACCTACTGAGCATCATGTTCAACATGCTGCAGTGCAAGTGTTCTGGTTTTGCTTTGCAGTTGACATGCACGTAGCTACTTATTTGATCTGATAAAGCTTAATAATGTTGGATTGGGGGGGGGTGTTTGGTTGTTCTTTTCAGAATTATCTTAAGGAATAAGCCTTCCAGTTTAAGAATACTGGTATGATTCTGGATTTGGTTAGCTTGTTTTGGGTTTAGTGCTTCTAAAATGCCATTGTTTTGAAAGAATGACTTTTGGTTGTGGCTGGGGAGTGGTGAGGTGGGCATGGATGAGAAAATGTACCAGAAAGGATGGGTAAAATATAAAATGGTGCATACAAAATAAAAAGGAAAAGTAATGTAAGTAAATATGTCAGTGTTCATTGTGGTTAAGTGATCCTGGTGTCAGCAGAGTAAGAGTCTGCATCAGTGAACTGGCATGCATACTGCATCCATGCTGCATGCGTTGACCTCTGCATGGAAATCATGCAGAAATTTGCTTCTGATTTCTCAGGTCGCCTACCCTTGTACATACCGTGCCTCCATTAATGAGACAGTTCAAAGCTGTGTAACTTTTATATTGGATCTCTCAGGGAATAAATGCAAAAGGATAGATTGTCTTGACTGAGAAAGAAAGGTAAGCAAAGGGAACACCCATGGAAGTCTGGACTGTATGGGTCCTCTGAGACTACCAAAAGAAAATTTAACTGTCTGTGGTCTTTGGTTCCCTAGATACGGTCTGCAGCACTGAAAAGGAGAAGTCAAGGATGAAGACCTATCTCCTGGGACACAAAGGTCTGCTGTGAGGCACCAGGAGCACTTAGTTTAAGTTTGTGAAGCTCAGTACCAGGGATCAATTGCCATAATCTGCCTTGCAGACAGGACCAAAGTTGAACTCCAAGGTGTAGAGAAAGTGTTTCTCAGTGGTCAACTCCTTTTCAGCATGACCCCCCTGAACCAGGTATACTGCCTTAGGAATGCCTCTGACATAGTGGGAGCCATGTTGCTTGAGGTTCTACAGGTATTTCTTGAATTTGAAGGCCACATTAGAGCTTTTACATACCGGTTTAATGGATTGGCTCTTTTTGAAAATGCTGTTATTTTATGGTGATGCTGACGCAGGCAGGACGTAACACAGTCAGAAATCCAGTTCCACGTACGTGGAAGATTTGTTCCTCTGAATGAGGGGTTCCACATCCAGAATGGACAGTTCTTCCATAGTTCCTGCTTATTCACAAATACTGACTTTAAAATAATGTAATCTGTTCTACTGATTAGGTTGATGCTGCCATCTACTGGAAATAAATGCTTATTTTTGGAACTGATTTGATTACATTAAAATATTTTAAGATCTTAAATGTATTCATTATCTTTTTTAATACAAGTAGAAAGTTTCAGACTTTCATCTGAGGATCGCAGATTTGTTAGAAAAAAGTACTAGGTGAGTTTCTGCTACTCATGCATGGCTTTACAGAGCCAAGTTGAGACTACGTCCCCTGTTTATCTCACTTTTTACTATTACAGGCATTTTTACTACCAGCACAGGCTTTTTATTATCACAGGTTTTTGCCGTGGCTGGTAAATGGTACTAAAGCTCTTTCCAAGTGTGTAAATAAGGTTTTGTCTCTGAATTTTCTGAAGGTATCTCTCTCTGTATGGTCTATGAAGAAAGCTTAATGATACAGTTCTCCCATCTTTGATCTGGCACCAAAAGTTTAGTCAGCATTAAACATTTGAAGAAATGTGTTTTGCATCAATTGCATAATTTCTGGAAAGTAAAATAGAAATTTCTAGTTATTCAATTAAACAATATGCTTAGACTAAATATTCTGCTTTTCTAAATCTGCTTTCATGAAAGAATACTGAGGTAACGTCTGGAGCAAGCAACCAAGTTTTGTCCTTCAGCATGAAGCCTTATGCACTCCACTCTTACAAATGTCTTTTATTTTGTGGCTATTAATCTTATGTCAATCTCTATTACTAACATTTTAAATATCATCTGATTTCAGAATCAAAGGGATCTGCAGCTGCTTTGTACTTGGGAAGGAAACCACTTAGTGCAAGCCCAGGGAGTCGTGGTTGAATGCTTGGCAAATAGCAGAAACCACAGAAACCAGAAAAACAGTAAGGTGACAGATTTTACAACCTTGTAATTTTTGTGATGGTCTCTCCCAGGCTTGTGTTAATTAATGCCTACAGTAATTTTGTATAACTGCAAACAAGTATCTCTTTAAAGCAAGTGGTGAGGAAAACCTCTTTGCATGTTGCCTGGTGAAAAAGCAAGACTTTGCACCTTTTTTTGGATTTGTTATGATATTTGTTATGAAATTTGTTATTGAGCACATCTAAATACACCGTAAACATATGCTTTAGGGTATTTTTCAGTGTTTACTGTAAAAGTGGTAGTAAGTATACTTCTCAGAGCTACAGGGTCATTTTAGTAGACAGCAGTTTCCCACCATTACTTTTTTTTGTAGTTCTTTCTGTAGTGCTTGTAGAACTTACTGGAATGGCTCCATAGTTGATGCATACAACATAGATCTATTCCAGAATTACTGGAATATGGTGAAGATACGCAGTTTAAACTTAGTGTTTCTTCTTCATATTGTCTGTAGATAGGTCTTCATCTAATGTAAACAGTGTGTCAATAGAGTTACAATAATTCAAGGAAATAAATGTTCTCTGTTTGTGTATATACATATCTACATGCTAAAAAATATATTTGCCTAAGGATAAAAAGAGGTCACGTATACTTACTACCTCTATATGCAACAACTTAATGGCTACTGGAAAATCTCGTTTTCTCTTGAAAAATTCTTTCACCTTGCCCAAAGCATTTTTCAGTGATTCTCAGAGAATAAGAATAGATGATCTGGTTGCAAGCACCTACATTAAATATATGAACCCCTTCTGATATTTCTTTTACCTAACTTTAAAGCACAAACCAAAGAAATCCTAGAGTGTCTCCAAAGCCTTTTTTCCTGTATTTGACTTCCACTGCTAGACAGTTTTCCTAACATTTAACCTAAATCTCCTTTGATACAACTTAAACCTCACTCCAGTCATCAAGGACATGGAAAATATTTCCTCCTCTGTAACGGCATTTTCCATATTTGATAACTGCTGTTATTTATCTTATCCCTTCTAGACAAAACACTGCCCTTTTTCCTGTCTTTCAAATAATGGTTTAGATGGATTTAGCACAAGAGAATCATTAGATGTTTTCAGAAGTTACAGCAAAGAAGCGTCTGTGTAAAATGAGAGTGAGTATACCAACCTCACTCACTAGGGTATTATTGCTCATTTGTGAATGCACGCAGCCAGACAGAATCAAATCCAAACAACCCATTCAGCAGTTATACACTGAAGACATAGACAGCCTGGATGTGATTTTAGCAGCTTTACGAAATGAAACTTAATAAAACAGGTTGGTACCTTCGGATATGCATAATGGATCAACACAGACTTCAATAACACTAGACTGGTATTCTGGTATTTCCTTTTTTATTTTTTTTTTCCTTGTAGGTGGAAATTCCATTTGAATGAGGTAAAGCGCAGCAAAATTACTGTGATAGTATGTTGGCTCATTTGCAATATTCTCTTTAGCACTACTGAATCCTCACAGAGGCAGGACCTCAAGTTCTCAGGGAGACAATCTTAAATGTTACCCATTGGTTGAACACAGCATTTGTGGGTTTTATTACCTCTGCATAATGTTTCTGCAATTAGATAAATGTTTGGTGTTATGTTTCTGTAATTTATGTAAATTGTAGTTACAGATACTAATTACCCTGTTTAAACTTGGCAGCTCCTCAAAGACTTCTAAGAAACTAATAATTATTAGCTTATCTTCTTTTAACACCCTGGAGGCTATCATTAGCACCAGACCATTTGTTGGTTAGTAAGTTACTTATGTCTTCTGACTTGCAGGTAATCTAAAAAGCGATCAGTAAAAAGGCTGGGTGAAAATATTTGTTCCTTGCATAGGTAAAACTTTGCATTTAAGCTTGGTAGCTGCTTTCTAGATTACAGTATAAATGGCTGCAGTTATCAGGGTTTAAGATAATTGGTAAAAGTAATGAAATAAGCATTTGTTCAACAGCACTAGTATACTTTTAACAAGGAAAACAAAGCTTTCAGTGTTTTGTGAGTTACTTGTAGAACTAAACATGGTATTCTCATTTCCTAGGCACTGCAAAAATGGGTTATTTTCAGCAGGCACTTTTCAATTTAGTTCATTGCTCAGAGTTGCCAGTGAACGGTCTTTGCTTTGGCTCTCACATATTCACACCCTTCTTTTACCAGAAGTTACAAGCTTTGCAGCAGGGGTGGCAGAGGTTAAGTGCTGAAGTGTGTTTTGATACTGGCCTCCAGTAGAGGTGTAGGATGGACCACAAAATGCAGAAACACCTTGAAGTACTACAGAGGAATCCAACAAAGTCGGATACTTACCAAAAGTGTGATGAAATCTCATTATTTATTGTTTTGAAATGCCAGTTACTGGCATAATATTTGAAGCCTTGTTTTTCCTTAAAAGTTGATTTATGCAAGGACCACAAGGATTAAATGCACTCACACTAT